GTAGTGTGGCTGAATTAGTTTCACGTAAAGGAACTTATAATGAAGTTTGTTTAGTAAGAGTGAAGGTTTAGAGAAAATTTTACTATAAAAAATATTAAAACATTACTTTATCTAACATGAAAGTAAAAGTTTACTGTATTTCAGAGTAAATTTTACTTCAAATGAAAGTAAAATTTTACTCTGGTATTGTGTACTTTCTGTGATTTTTTTTTGAGCTTGTATTGACAGCAAAATTTTACTTTGATTAACATTAAATTTTACTATGTTGTTGAATGGTTGTCTATCCAATTCTTAGTCAAAACAACATTCTACTATCATAATGTATTAATCACCAAATCACAATAAAATTTACTAGAACTGTAGGCTAACCATGTATCATCTAATAGTTTTTTAGCATTCTTTCACTTACAATTACAATTTTAGCATTCTTTCATTTACAAAAAAAAAGAAAAAAAAAAAAACTACATTCATCATTCACATCAGATACAAAAAAGTAGTTCCCAAAAGTTGTTCACATCGTCGCTCTTGAGGTCTTATTCCTCAGCTATTTTTCTTTTGAGGTTGAATTGCTCCTCACTCTATGTTTTTTGAGAATCATTAAAAAAATTGATGCACTATTGATGCTCGAAAATTGTTAATTTCATCATTTTCCATAGACTTTGCAATAGGCTTGTCTCTCATGATTTGACGCATGATATAATCTACAAGAATTTCACAATCAACATTGTTAATAGAAAATCAAGATCTTGTTAGATTTACTCAATTTTGAAAAATAAATGCAGAATAAAGAAAAAAAAAAAAAAAAAAAAAGGGGAAAGGGAAGGGAAAGCATAAAAATGTACAAACATTGTAATGAAACAATAAAGTTTTATTGTGAAAGTAAAAATTTACTTTGATTAGAAGTAAAATTTTACTTTGCAAATCATATGTTACACTAATTTGCTTTAGTCATATAAGACATAAACACTAGCCAATAACCCAATAATACAGGTTTCATGAAATAAACCCCATGAACGAAATCTTAGAATACGAACTAAACCCAAACATATCTAAAGAATACGAAAACCAAAACTCTCTTAATTCAATCTGCAATCTACAATATCAACTGAACAAACTAAAATTCACCATAGGTGTAAAAACCTCATAAAAATGTACAATCATTGTAATGAAACGGTAAAGGTTTACTATGAAAGTAAAACTTTACTCTAATTGGATTGTCATTTAACGCATTTTCCTGATAATTCAGCAACATTGCACTACGTAGTCCAATCTTTTATCAACCAAGCAGTTCTATCATCACTTCAATTGAATTCGAATGTAAAATCACTCATTTTGTGAAGAATTTAACAACATTGCAGCATGCAATATCTATGAACCAAAAATCGAGATCAAGAACACACACCCAAAAAAAAAAAAGTAGTATAGTAAGCTTATCTTTAACTTTGTTATAGAAAGGGAAAGCTTCGTATTGATAAAAAAAACAACCTCCTTGGCAACAAGCTCAGGCGGACGCTCCCTAGCGTACGCCTTCTGAAACAGTGACGTGGCTCTGACGACGATGACTAGAGCTCCAGTGAGTCTGAGAGATGTGATTTTGGCCAAGCTGCTAGATAGAGAGGTGTAAAACCAACGGCGACGAGAGAAGAAACTGGTGGCACCATTGCCTGCGGCGATTCCATACAAGACGATGTCGAGGTGGTGGTGGTGGAAGGAGGGTTTTCGATTTTAAGGGTTTCGAACGAAGAAACAAAGCGAGGAGGAGAGAAACAATTTAGTAGCTTCAAATTTTGCCCATTTATATGAAAGGGCATTTCAGTCTTTTCATCATATTTTTTGATCTAAGGGGGTTTTAGGAGCAATAATATATTATGTGTCCTTTACATAAAAAAGGCTCAACAGAAGGGGGTTTTCACCAAAAATCTCTATTTTATAATCAGTTTGGTAGTAGTTAGGGTTTTGATAAAAAGCCCAAGAATCTACAATATATTTGGGATTGTTTTGTTTTTCTGGAAAAAAGGAAGGCAGCCGTTGGACTTGGTGGTGGAGCATCAGTTGTCTGATTAATTCGGTGTATTTTGCTTCATTGGCAATGCATGTTTAAGTGGAAGTCTTTTGCTTCTCTGTTTGGGTGCATCTTCGGTTGGTTGGTGAAGTTGATTTGGGTTATTATTTTGGGTCTTCTACAACTCTGTTTCGAAGATCATTGTTCACCTATTTGGTGAGGTCTTTCCTCTTGTTTATTTGTGATTATTTGCAATTTACCTAAGGGTGATTTTGTGAGACAATTTGTGTCTCATTTGTAATCGTTTGGAAACTTTTTTGATTAATAGTGGAATAAGATTTCGATCACATGGACGTACCTTACATTGAGGGAAACATATAAAATTCTTGTATCGTTATTGATTCAATTTTTCCACATTAGTTTGTATTCTCATTACTTGATTTACTTGCGAGAAATTATCTATTTTCCCTAATAGTTGCCACCTCCGTCAACCCGTTGCAAACCCAAATAAATACATGTGAGAAGGTGAGCGGATTGAGTTAGGTTAGGCAGATTAAACGATAAACATCAAGAAGTCAATTAGTATACGATTTAAATTTATCAACACACCTATAAACCAGCACAACTCAAATGCACAAGCAAAATTACATTTCACTTTCTCACACACAATCTCTCTCTAAATCTAATATAATTAATTAGATTACACCCTTCATTTCATCACAGATGTTTCTCTTAATTTGATTGTTTTGTAGTATTCGATTCACTTTCATGTTGAGATTTAGAATAAATAATAATTTTTTTGGTTAAAATTGTAAAAGCATTAAGCTTATATGTTTTTTTATTTTTTATTTTTTATGTTCATCCCTATTATTTTTATTTTAATCTATTTAACCCGCTCAATCCATTTATTTGACACCGTTAAAATATTCACATCAGCGGCCACTTTTGTGGATGAGTGGGTTGGCGATAAAAAAAATTCTCAATCTGATAAGCCACCACAATGAATCACACCAACACAATTTTAAAACGTACCAAACATGATAATAGGACGTAATTAATTTCAAAAAACACGGCAAAGATCAAATTCAAGGGTAAATTACATTGCCTACCTTTGAGGTTTAAAAAAATAAAACATGACTCACAAGTACATATATAATTGCACAAATTTCTCTTTTAGTAAGATTAAAATGATTGAAATAATGTAGATAGTATGTAAACACATGATAATCAATGGTAATATAAAAGAGATGAAAGTATATATTTTTTATTAATATGATTAACAAATGATTGATGAAAATTGAATAAAGTGTTATATAAATTAAATTTTTTAAAAGGCACAATATAATTATATTAAACTTATGGAGTTTAGTGCATTTGTTTTGAGACTCAAGGGAGGTTAATGTCATATACTATTAATTTTAAAATAAAGTATAGATACACTTCTTAAAATTTATTTAAAATACAATTTACCTATGGTTATTTTGAAAATTATATTCCGCCCTTGAAATTTTTAATTTTATAACAAAAGGCTTATTTTATCAATAAACTATCAGGTCAATTAATAATTTTTAATAATGTTAAAAATTTATTTCAATTAATAATTTAAGTAATTTTATGATTGTATGTGAAAGCAATTATGAATTTCATTTTTTGTAGTTAATTTTGTTAAATAAAAAATCCCCACTGCTTAAACCAAGTGGGATGGTTTTTTTCATGGCCGAACTACCACATGGCCGAAATAACACGGGCTATGCTGAGCCACAGAGAAGGCCGAACTATCCTTAGCTCGGTCTTTTCCTTTAACTCATTACTTCGGCTGTCCCTGTTCAGCCTTGGTGTGCTTAGATCAGACTTCCAAGTAACAAGTTTTGACCGACCTAACCAGATTGTGTCATGACCGGACTAACTCTGAAATTGGTCCTCCCAGAACATACTGCGACCGGACTAACTCTAAGACCGGACCTACTCCGAGCTGTCTCTGGATCGGAGTAGCCTTACTCTTCCTTGGGCCGAAGCTACTATCTCTTCTTGAGCCGGAATAAACTCATCTCCTTGGGCCGAAGTAACTTTGTCTCCCCAAGGCCGGAATAACCTTGCCCTCTAGGTCGGAGTATTCAGTACAGCCTTTTTACGCAGTCCTACGCGTTTTGGGCCTTAATGCCCAACTCTCAGTTCGGCCCAATTTTTCCCAAAAATTACCAATCTGATAAGCCACCACAATGAATCACACCAACACAATTTTAAAACGTACCAAACATGATAATAGGACGTAATTAATTTCAAAAAACACGGCAAAGATCAAATTCAAGGGTAAATTACATTGCCTACCTTTGAGGTTTAAAAAAATAAAACATGACTCACAAGTACATATATAATTGCACAAATTTCTCTTTTAGTAAGATTAAAATGATTGAAATAATGTAGATAGTATGTAAACACATGATAATCAATGGTAATATAAAAGAGATGAAAGTATATATTTTTTATTAATATGATTAACAAATGATTGATGAAAATTGAATAAAGTGTTATATAAATTAAATTTTTTAAAAGGCACAATATAATTATATTAAACTTATGGAGTTTAGTGCATTTGTTTTGAGACTCAAGGGAGGTTAATGTCATATACTATTAATTTTAAAATAAAGTATAGATACACTTCTTAAAATTTATTTAAAATACAATTTACCTATGGTTATTTTGAAAATTATATTCCGCCCTTGAAATTTTTAATTTTATAACAAAAGGCTTATTTTATCAATAAACTATCAGGTCAATTAATAATTTTTAATAATGTTAAAAATTTATTTCAATTAATAATTTAAGTAATTTTATGATTGTATGAGAGAGCAATTAAGAATTTAATTTTTCAATTAATTATATTAAGTAAAAAATTCTGACAATAAAATATTTATAATTTTTTAAATCACAAGAGGTAATTCCAATTTTAAGCAAACTGTATTTGTAATTTACACTTAATTTTAAGCCTTAACTTGCATATACACTAAAAAGGTAGTTATCACCATAAATAAGGTAGGTAGCAATGCTATCTTGGTTTAGAATTGAAAGAACCAAAGGTTGAAACCAACATTCTTCTTCCACATCCCACCTTGTCAGCAATGGCAGAAACAATCTCTACAACAAAAAGGTACTTTTGCTTCTTTTGTAGCATTTGAAATCTCCAGCTAGCATTTGAATGGTTGAGATTCATTTTAAATACAAGTATAAATCTAAACCACACATGGAGTTTCTGTGTAAATTTATTGTAACTATTCTGAGTTCTTAGGCTTTTTGCTCTCTAACTGCAACTTTCGCACCCACCAAGTGTTTGTGTTGTTGTCTCTGTAGGTATGCAGTGGTTACAGGGGCAAATAAAGGAATAGGATTTGAAATATGTAGGCAGTTAGCTTCTAAGGGAGTCATGGTGGTGTTGACAGCTAGAGATGAGAAGAAGGGTATTGAAGCTCTTGAGAAAGTCAAAAGGGATAATGGCCTCTCTGATCATGTGGTGTTCTTTCAACTTGATGTTGTAGACCCATCTAGTATTGCTACCCTTGCTGATTTTATCAAGTCTAAATTTGGAAGGCTTGATATCTTGGTATGATTCACAACCCAATTCTCAATTTTTTTTTTTATTAAATTATTTTATAGTTTTAATATTTTTTAGGCAATCTCAGTTAACAGCCACAGGCTTTCCTCAATTGTAAAATTCTGATATACTTTAGCAATACACAGTTATTATTTGATATCTTGGAGATATCTATGACTCTTCTCTTTGTAAAGCAGGATTGACATTTTTTTAGCAATTTTTTGACTTCTTTAGAACCTAAAATAGTTCACGTGTTTGGAAAGTTGCTAAAAAAAAAGTTTTTTTCTTTTTTTTTTGGAAAAAAATTGATTTGACAATTAACATTTTTAGCTGTTGAAAAATAGTTAAGTGACTTTCTGGCCCTTTTTTTTTAGCAAAAATTGGGTTTTTTCTCAATAGTCCAAATGCCCACTAAATAATGGACAAGATTGAATTATTGAAGGTGAACAATGCTGGGATTGGTGGCGTCCACACAGATTTGGATGCTTTAAAGTCATCAGAGGTTGCTGATGTTGGGGTGAGTCTTTAGGCATGAGTCATTTCTTTTGCTCTTTGAGTAAATTAATAAATAATTGGTGTGATAATGTCCACTAATATTCCTTTTTTTTTTTTTTTTTTCCTTTTATTTCGTTAAGTAGCATGTTATTTTCTTGGAAAGGTTAAGATCTATACCTAATCTTTCAATTGTCTTTGGATATCACTATTAATATTAAATGATCCCCATCACACTAATACGGTAATTTTAAGAAATGCAAGACATGACATTTGGGTGAGACGTGTTAATATATTTATTATAAGTCATATATAGAATTTCGTTTAAAATTAATAAATATATACAGTATAACACAAATTTTTTTAAAGAAAGAAGGATTACTAAGTATGGATTTATATTGGTTTTTCTATTTTTTATTAGATTGTAAACAAATTTGTTCAAACTTGTAATGAATTTTATGTTTGTCTAAATGATGGATGTGTGTGTCCTTCAATCCAAGTGTCAGAAGCATGTTTAAGTGTAAGAAAAATTTAATAACTAATAGGACATGTTTGGACGTGTGTCCGATATGTGTCAAAAGTGTCCAATGAGTGTTAGTATCTAACAAGTGTTGGATGTGGACATGCCACCTTCTTGAAAGTGTCGGTGTTTTTTAGGTAGTAGGTAATAGCAACCACAAGGACTATAACTGAATGATCTCATTAGTGCAGCCTGGAGTGCTAAGCAAATGGAAAGAAGTAATGACTCAGAGCTACGAGTTGGCTGAAGAATGCTTGCAAACAAACTACTATGGCGCAAAAAGGATGATTGAAGCACTCATTCCCCTCCTCCACCTCTCAGATTCACCAAGGATTGTAAATGTCTCTTCTGGCATGGGGAAGTTAAAGGTACAAAGCAGAAGTAACACCCCCCTCTTTCATAAGTATAAAATTTGCGATAGTTGTTGATTTTGATTTTAAGGCAGAAGATTTTACTATCTGCTACCAAAAGTAATTATCAATGTTGTATTGTTGTTAGATCGGGGCAGTTATGTCTAGCCAAGAAACATGGGTGACGCCACTCAATGATCAGTTCAGTGGTGACAATTGAACCCTCCGAGAAAACAAAAATATATATATATATATATATATTTATCATAAATATATGTATATTTGTTTCTTTAAAAATTATAATACAATTGTCACCACAAGAAAAGTGAGTTTAAACCCCATATTATATATATATATATATTGCATTTCACAATGGCTTTTAAAAATGTCTTCTTTATAGTTTGTTGTTAAGGTTGTTCCCCCAAATAATTTGACTTCCCACCCTTTGGTTTTTGGGGTTTAATTTTTATGCAAAAAATGAGAATTGCTAGGAACTAAGCTTGGTATCAATAAAAAATTTCCTTCTCTCTTGTTCGCAAAGACTCACTTTTTATATGGTCTCATCATGAAATTGATGGGAGTTAGCATAGTGGAGATTTGTAATCTGATAATAAAGGGGGAAAAACAAAATTTAACTTGATAATTGTTGTGATTTGTTAGGAAAGCATGGTAACTTGTCCACGCAGAAGTTAGGATTTGTAGAATTTATGATATAAAATGAAACCCACAGAGGTACTGACAAAAATTTCTGAAGTCGGCAATATAAGGACTTTAAATATCTACATAGTGATAATGATGGTAAACTATTGTAATAGAAATGATGCATAATACAAGAAGGATACAGTGTGCATGTCGTATTTTGTTTCATAGAAAAAGCTTTGCGCTAAAAAAAAAAGATCTCAAAACGTGCCCAGAAAATGAAGTGTGTGATGTAGATTAAAAATTAGTATGATGTGAGCAACATCCAGAATATAGTCCATACATTTTATTATTTGTGCACTTTTTGGTTACTTTTCCGAAATAACTTTTTTTAATAATGTGGACGACTTCTAGGATCAACTTTCTCATGGATATGAGGGTTGTATTTTCATTTTCATATGTGCAAATTCAATGTTGTCAATGGTTGTTGACCTTAGTTTTTCTCATATATCTATATATTGTTTCAGAATATACCCAATGAATGGGCTAAAGGAGTGTTGAATGATGCCGAAACCCTTACAGAAGAGAGAGTAGATGAGGTACTGAATGAGTTTCTAAAAGATTTCAAAGAAGATTCGTTAGAAACCACAGGATGGCCTACAATGTTCTCTGCGTATACATTGTCGAAAGCAGCCATGAACGCATATACAAGAATTCTAGTCAAAAAGTATCCCACATTCTGCATCAACTGTGTCTGCCCCGGTTTTGTTAAAACTGATATAAACCACAATACCGGCATTTTAAGTACAGAACAAGGTGCTGAATGTCCTGTGAAGCTTGCCCTGTTGCCTAAAGATGGGCCTTCTGGCCTCTTCTTTAGTCACAACGAACCATCATCTTTTGAGTGAGCACTGTTCAATTCAATCTTCCATATGAAGATGAAAGTAATATGTATAGTATAGATATATATATATATATATATATATCTTGAGTGACTTTTTATCCAAAATATTCCAATGTGATTTATGCAAGTAATTTTATGAACAACTTGAGGCAATTAAACTATATATTTTATTTTTTATTTATTTATTTATTTATTTATGTTTAACAGTTTGTGCAATGGTTTTGAATTTTCAAAAACAATTTTCTAAGTTTTCAATTCATATTTTTATATTTTTCATGATTTTTAAAAATATTTTCACTATTATTATTTTTTTAATTTTTAGATCCACTTAATCTTTAAAAAAATAAAATAAATAAAAATAAAAATTATATAAAAGTATTTAAAAAATTCATTGAAGCTTTTGGGAGTGATTATAGCTTATTTTGATTTGGGAGTCTATGCCAGATTATTTGGTGCAGCTTCTGCTTATAGTTTATTAGACAGAAATAGCTTAAATAAGCTTTAAAAAGTTGAATATTTGAAAACTGTGGTGGGGTGCTTTTAGCTTCTACTTTTTAATTATCAACTTTTAATTTAAAAAAAGCTCCACCAAACACAGTACGAAAATATATTGAATTTTTAGTTTTTTTTTATATTTTTTGTATTTGGTAAATTTTAAATTATTTTCACAAATATTATACTTTTTAAGCGTATTTAGATTAGATGTATCTAAAAAATAAAAAAAGTGTAAAATATTTTTAAAAAAATTACTAAAAACAAAAAAAATCAATTTTTTGAAAGGTGGATTCAATTTTCTGGAACCAAAAATGGGGTATAATTCTCAAATTTGTGACAGTAAACACACACACTCACTTTCTGATGGCTCTCTTTCTAGCTTCGGTTGGGATTGAAATGAGATGAAACAGCTTCTTTAGATATATGGGATTGGCTTATTTAGGTTGGCATGGTTGATCTTGTATACCTAGATTTATCATTTTGATGTGATTTTGTTTGGAAATTAAGGTTGTATTTGGAATTTGTATTTGTGGAGGAAAAACAAAAAAGGGAAAAAGAGAAGAAAAAGGAAATGAAGTACAAACTTCTTTTTTTCTCTTTCCTTTTTCATCCATAAATTCAAGGTTCAAAGATGGTCTAAATGAACATGTTTTTATAATTTCTCAGGCAATTTAAAGGATTAAATTTTTTAATTTTTTTATTTATACTTTTTTATGTGTGGTTGACTTGATCTGATTGAGATACATGACAAAATATAATTATTTTGGTTGGTTCTATTTATCTATGTGTTTTGGTTTAGCACATTTGAATATAGGCAAATTTACATTTGTGGATCACTCGTACAAACACAGTAATTCTCAAAGGTTGTAGTAACCTATAGCCATAGTATATTGATAAATGATCTGTACAAGAGATAAATGTTTCTTAATTTTAAAATATTGTATACTAAATAAGAATTGTTTTTCCCCTCCAAAAAAAAAATTAAGACTTGTTTTTATATTATTGTAACGATATCACAAAATACGTAGATTGAAGTCGAGAAACTGATTGAATTTATTATTATTTTTTCATTGCAAATTTTATATCAAATTTTAACACCATGATCTTAACTCAATATGAAGAAAACAATATCAGTTTATTTATTGATAAAAAATAATAATAATATCAATTTGAAGAAAGAAAATTATGTTTATTTATTGATGATGATAATGATGATGATGATAATAACAATATTGTTATAGGCTAATCAAGAATTAAGGGGATCTATTATTGCAAAATGACGTAAACTTGGTAGTTAGGCATCACTTTTATACCAGTTATGTTTTAGAGCTCTAAATCCACCATTAGAGAGGTGGAAATGGAAAAAAAATTCTCTGGTTTATAAATGAACCCAATGAAATTTGAATTTGAATTTGAACTGTCATGACTCAAACCCGCCCCTATAGGTTTAGCATCGTAACCGGCCAGCAATCCTTAGATTACCGAAGGCCTTTGAACAGATTAACATATAGCTAGGGGCTGCAAAAGCAAATAAACAAACTTACAAAGTCCATAGAGACATATATGGGACAGGAAATTAAAAACTTTTCATATACACATATGCATATATACAGATGTGGCGTCGAATGGTATAGTAACCTTACATCACCCAAGCCACATACACAAGATTTCAAGCGTGTTCAGACCAGACATAAACATTTTGGAAGTACAAAAGTCCCAAGGACACAAAACTCAACAGATCACAAAAGGGAACCTTCACTAGAGGCATGATAGCTGGCTGACATCAAAACTCGCCAGGCAGCATCTCAGGCCTGGTCTTGCTCACCTACATACATATAAATAAATAGTGAGCGGAAGCCCAGTGAACAATAATAGAGTAAAGGGTTTAATGAATGTTGTCCATAATAGTTACATAAAACGCTATTTAGTAGTTGTCAGAAATGGCTTCATAAACCTGTTCAGAAGTCATAGTTCATAACATATATAGATTCAGAATCATATTCATAATCAAAATTTGTAGTTAATCGTACGTGATACATTCATTAGCCCTAGCAAATACAGTTGGGCCATAAAGGGACGACCATAAAGGCATACAGTTGACCCATAAAGGGACGGCCATAAAGGCATACAATTGACTCACGTGCACGGAGATAGTACAGTTGGCTCATGAGACGTACAGTTGGCCCATAAATGAGATGTAAGGATCCATAACAGTTGGATCATGAGACATACAGTTGACCCATAATTGGGACGTAACATAACAGATAACAGATATCATTTGAAGCTAAGAATGTCACGAATACATTTCAGACACATTGGACGAACAATCATTCATACAGAAAATGTTATTTCAGAAAACAGATCATCTTATATCATTCAGAAAATACTTATAATTGAACATAGCTTTACAAAGTTATTACTCACAGTTGGCTTCGAGTGCAGACAAACAGAGCAGATTAATCAAATGGTTCGAGGCACGCGACCTACACGAACATACATACAAATACACACTTGAAATACACGTTCGAATTATTCATAACTTGCTTTATTTGTTCATGGCGTGTTTCTAGTCTTCAACCTCATTGTGGAGTCTTAATCATGGCCTAGGAATGCCTAGGATGGAATGAGGATGTAAAAATACACTTGAAAACATTTTCCAAAATCTGCTGAAAACAGGGTCCACACTCGAGCGTGGCTTTTCTCGCTCGAGTGGACATGCAGAATGTGAAGGTTCGCTCGAGCGTGGCTTTCCTCGCTCGAGCGGACTGCAAACGTAGACAAAAGTACTGGTTGCATGATTTTCACACTCGACGGATGCTCAATCCTCGCTCGAGAGTGAGACTCAAATCCTCGCTTGAGCGTGACTTCCCTCGCTCGAGTAGACTGCGAAACATATGAACTGCTGGGTATGTGCATTTCACACTCGAGCGCGACTTACGTTGCTCGAGCGGAAGTACACGTACTCAGGGTGCTCGCTCGAGCGTGAAGTCCCCTGCTCGAGCGTGGATCAAATTTCTGGAATTCCCAGCTTTGTTCTTCAAGTCCAAACTCGACCTCCGAGGCATCAAACCTCATTTTTCTGGGCCAAAACTTGAGAAAATACATGAAGACCCTTGGAACAACATAAATTAAAGATCAATTCAAGAAATCATGGCTCAATGGCTTGCCAATTGTACAAAAATTCAACTTGAAACTCAAGAATGATCCACGAACTAGACATGCATGAGCTCCCTTGTGCTTTCTCACTTTAAAGCATGATCAAACTTGATAAATTGATAGAAAACATGGTGAATTCCTAATTTACAACCATAATATGAACATGCATGTGAGAATTATGTGAAGTTCAACTCAATATGCTATGATATATGCATGCATGTATGGAATTCACCTATTCAAGCTCAATCCTTCTCCTAATATGGATTTTCTTTTGATCTCATGAGTTAGCTAACTTAATTATATCATCAAAAGTTTGAATTCTCACCTAAACTTCCCAATTGAGTTTCAAGTAGTCTAATTCTTGAGTGATCAAGCTAATTCTCCTTAGTTGCCTTCAATTCTCTAGCAAATCACTTGGGTTGAACTCAATTCTTTCTTCCTCTCTCTCTCTCTCTCTCTCTCTCTCTCTCTCTCTCTTTCTCACGTTTTTCTTCCTTGAGGAGGCTCAAATGTGTATAATGAATGCAAAAAGATGAGCTAGTGGGGTTAAAAAGGCTCACTAAGTGATAGGTAACAAGACTAATCAAATGGCATAAATTTAATCTAATTTAATCGTTCCAAATCGAATTTCAATTAAACCTTCCATAAAATTCTATAAATTCCACATAGCACATACATCAAGTCAATTTCTGAATTGGATGCCGATAAGGCCTTCAATTCACAAACCAAAACTAAAACATGAACATGTCTTTCTATGCTAAACAGATATAAACACTATAACGCAAAGCACACATGCAAATAAATTTAGAATTCCTCATTAATTACGGATTAGGCATAATTAAGTATGGATTAACGTTACGTAGGGATTGGGGTTTTTACAGTCTTCCCCCCTTAAAAGAGTTTGGTCCTCCAAACTTGAATTACCTTCGTTCTGGAAGAACATTGGGTCCAATGGAAACAAATCCGGATATCTCTTCATCATGTCTTCTTCTGTTTCCCAGGTTGCATAAGTTCCTCCATGATTCTGCCAATCCACCTTCACTAACGGGATTTCTTTGTTTCTTAGTCTTTTAATCTTGCGGTTCACAATTTGAATAGGTCTCTCCTCGTAAGTATAATCATCCTTTAGGAGTACATGAGTTGGCTTAATCACATGTAATGGATCCCTCAGATAATTCCGAAGCATAGAGACATGAAAGACATTATGCATATGCTCCATAATCGGTGGTAAGGCCACCCGATACGTTACGGGGTTGATTTTCTCCAGAACTTCATTTGATCCAACATATTTTTGCGCCAACTTACCCTTGACACCAAATCGAGTGTGCCCTTTCATTGGGGTCACATTGATAAACACATGGTCCCCAACTTCGTATTCCCTATCTCTTCTTCGGACATCAGCATAACTCTTTTGTCGGCTCTGTGTGGTTTTCAGTCTCTGTTGAATCAGCTTAAGATTTTCAGTCATTTCTTGTACGAGTTTCGGTCCCAACAACGGTCTGTCACCTAC